CCCCCCCCCCACAAGGTGTAAATGATAGGCTAATATTAAAAGTGACTCTACAGAAATAAAATGAGAAGATGTGGACTGGATCAAACTAGTGCAGGAGAAGATTCAATGCCACAGGGTTTTGTCAACATGATAATAAAATTTCAGATTCCATAAAAATTTAATTATGACAAGGTGAATAACTATTGGCCACTCAAGGAAGACCTCATTTGTTGGTTAGTTGATACATGTTTCACAAGTTCATCTGTTCTCAAATTTTGAGGCTAAAAAGTATTGTGAATATCATTTAGTTACCTGTAAAGATGATTTCCTTCCATTCTCTGAGGGAGGTCTGTGATTCTGTTTATGAATTGTGATTGGTGATCCTTAAATATTGATGGTAAATGTCCAGTTGACGTGTACTCCAAAAGAGCATCCAACATCCAGAAACAATCTGAGATACATAAAATGATTCAAAATTAAAAAAAAGTCATTAATTTAAATGGTATAAATTTTAAAATGAATGAAACATGGTTCTCATATACATTCATATATTTAACACAACATGCATTAGTAACCTTTTTGAAGATGGCTATTGTCGAGGCAGTTTGAATCTCCATAAACAATGACCCGCCCACTCTTCTCAGCAGCTCTACTCTGAAGCAATCCCAGGATGGGAACATTTTCTGTGGTCTCTGTTTCTTGGCCTAAAATCTCCTGACCTAAAAGCAAGATGACAAAGCGATCCTTGCATTCTATTACCCGGTTATTCACTTTTTTCTCTTATAATAAAACATTCACTAAATCCTGTTATGTATACAATTTTTTACAGTGAAATCTCCATTTACGGTTTCTTTGGAGATAAGTATGTTTGAATATAAACTAGGAAAATAGTAAACAGAGACACTTTAACATTAAGATCATTGACCTGAAATTATTGCAATTGAATGTCACATGAGAGAATCCTCAACTGAGGAACATAGAAGGGGATTCCCCTGTACTTATTTCTACACATATACATGGACAGATAATAATTATAATTTGTTTCACACCTATTTCTATAATAATGAACTATTCTCGTGCAGTGTAGTTCTATTAACCTTTAAGTGACGGCCCTTTAAATTCCGGTAATGGCAGCGGGACGGATTTGATTTAAATACCCGCAATTTTAAAGCAATAAAAACTGTAATCATTTCCTAAAATTGCTGTGATTTCTACAATTTTTGTGATAAACGAACCAAATAAACGCTGTTTTTTTTTCTAGAAAGAATGTAGAATCATGTAGATATGATAT